CGGTGGCAAAGTTGAATATGGTGGAGGAGGAGTGTTTGGTTGGGCCTGTAGACCTTCCGCTGCTCCATTATTCTGAATAAACTCAATAGCTGGCCAACTAGGAAATACTGAAGACCAATAAAGTCTATCTCCTTCATTCACCATAGTGGCTGGAGTTTCTGTTCGGCTATTCTCAATCACTGGAGTTTCTTCTTGGCTAGAATGTGCATCACTATCTCCATATGTTGGTGTATATGCTGATGTTGCTGTATATACTGGCGTATATGTTGGACTATATGTTGGTGTATATGCTGATGTATCTCTTGCTGTTGGTCTATCCTTGTGTGGATTATATGTGTCTGTTGCTCCATTGCCATACATAGTGTTTAGATAATTAAGTACACGTTTTTTGGTTGCTTCAGCTTCTGCTGCTGTATATGATGGTGTTGTTCTTACATATGCACTTGAGTACAGGTTATATGTATCATATTTACTTTTATAGAATACGTATATGCAAAATAGTACAACAATAAACATGATTACTTCGAATATAATTCTCCACACACTTTTTTTTCGTCTTGGTGCTTGCTCAGTCATTAGCTGCAAATCAGTCCGTTATTTATATAAAAAATGCCCTATAGAATTGTAGGAATATTAACCAATGCCGTGTAAGTGGCTATTTACTCTATTCAGCTGAATTTATTCGCTGGAAATAAAGGGTTAGCCAACTGTCTTAAAGACCAATAGAAAGCTTGGTTAAATATCTCTCTAGTGATCATATACTGTGCATAGCTGATATATCAAATTTAAACCATTTAAAGAACGCTTAATGATTTATTGAACCCACTTTAAATATTTTCATTGTTGACCCAGTTTCTTTAGTGTCTGCTTTGTATGCATCTGTTTGGTTAAATTTTTGGTGATATTTAACTACTTTATTCATTATTTACAACTGTATCTGCATCGTTTTGTTTATCTCCATACTGCTTCTCCATTTTCTTATGAAATTCTTCTCCAAGTTTTTCTTCATTTTCAGTTTTTCCTGTTCCGCCTGATAGCTTTAGACTTCCCAATATGCTTAGATTATCCCAGTAGTTTTTTATTTCCTTTTTATAGATGAATGCGGAAATAGCACATATTACGAAAATAATTAGAACTACACCCATTGTATTTCTCCATATGTGTGACTTATGTCTTTGCACTTGCGCTCTCATTAATCATAAAAACAGTCCGTTATTTATATAAAAAATGCCCTATAAAATTGTAGGAATACTAACCAGTAATATGTAGATGCCCATTACTCTATTCAGCTGAATTTATTTGCTGAAAATGAAGGGTTAGCCAATTGCCTTAAAGACCAATAGAAAGCTCGGTTGAAGATATGCCAAGAGATCATATACTGTGCATAGCTAATATATCAAATTTAAACTATATAAAGAACGATTGATGATTTATTAAACACACTCTAAATATTTTCGCTGCTGATCTAATTCTTTAGTATCTGCTTTATATGCATCTGTTTGGTTAAGCTGTTAGTGATATTTAACTTTGTCCATTATTTACAACTGTTTCTACAATTTATCCCCATATTTATCTTTCATTTTCTTATGAAATTCTTCTTCTTTGCTTTCATCTTTTTCTCCTTTTCCTCTTGATGGATTTAGGCCTAGACTTCCCAATATGTCTAGGTTATCCCAGTAGTTTTTTATTTCCTTCCGATAGATGAATCCGATAATACCACATATTGCGAAAATAATTAGAATTAGATCCATTGCAGTTCTCCACATGCTTGATTTACGCCTTTGTACTTGTGCTCTCATTGATCACAAAATCAGTCTGTTTTTTATATAAGGGATATCCTATAGGAGTGTAGAAATACTAACCAATGGTGTGTAAGCGGATATTACTCTATTCAGCTAAATTTATTCGCTAAAGATGAAAGAATAACCAATCAGCTCAAGCGCCAATAGAAAGCTCAGCTAAAGATTGCTATGATATCATATGGTGTAAATCAGCTGATATACCAAATTCCAACCATTACCTTTTTCTCTAACACCACTTAAAGAACATCCGATGCTAATGGCAAATAATTTAAAATAAATAAAATACATGTACAATTTACACTGGCAATTATTGAATACACTTTTTATTTTTTCTACTGCTGCATACATTTTTCTGCTGACAAGCTTGCATACATCAATAGCCCATCATGAGTGCTGGTAATGATCGATTCCTATTTGACAGGCTCTGAAAATAATATATATTATACAAAGAATTAGAAGTACCCTCATTACAGTTTTCCATGTGCTTGGTTTTTGAACTGGTACTGCTTTCTCCATTAATCACAAAAACAGCCCGTTATTTATATAAAAGCCATCCTATAGAATTGCAAGAAAATTGTCCAATTATTGCATGGGTGCATATTACTCTATTCAGCTGAATTTATTCGCTAAAAACAGAGGACTAGCCAATCAGCCAAGCACCAATAGAAAGCTCAGCTGAATTATCCGCTATATCTGCTAAGATACTGCATGTCTATGCCAGCTGCTGGACTGAGCTTAATCCGCTGTCTATCTGCCAATGCATTACTGGCTATGCGAGAGATTTTTCTGCTTCTCGTTTTTCACCCAGAATTTGTACCATGTATTTGCATTTGTAGTTTCGTTGACATTCCCGCCTCCACCGTCTTTTTTAGAAAAGAACCCCTCGGGAAGAAGCAGGATAACTAAAGAGACCACGCCCACCAGAATCAGAGCCAGCAAAATCTTCCAATTTCTGGCTCTTTGCCGTTTTTCCATTGCATTGACCATTAGCATGGAGTTGGTTCGTTATTTATCTGGGATTCATCCTATAGAATCACACAAAAGACGTCCAATTATTGATGCACATTTATTGCCGTATCACCACTGTTTTTACTCAGCAATCAGTGACGTATGCATCCTACTGTCTTTTTGGGATATACCTCTGAGATTTCTGTACTTTCACTCATATGGTATTTATTTCAGTTTCATCCTAGTGTCAATAAAAACGCAGTAGATGGATAGATGAGATTAAAGACAGAGCAGTTATGTTTTTTAAAGCATGCATTTGAATTTATTTGATAATTATTTTTGGTTAGATGTTTGTTCTATGTTTTTAGCTACTATTACATAATATTTATATTTTTTTAGTGTCTGGTTACTAGATCACTCCATCTATGACTGCTAGCTTTTATTCGTGTAGATGCTTTCTTTACTTTGCCTGATTAGTGTAATCATCTTGGATAGACGTGCCCGGGTGGGCCTCCATGACCACCTTGCATCCCTGCAGTTTCCCTAGGAAAATCTGGATTAGGAGTCTGTTGTCCTTGATCTCCAGTTTGCCCTCCAGTTTGATGTCCTTGATCAACAGCAGCTGGTCCTTCAGTTTGTCCTTGACCAACATCAGGTGTTCCTTCTGTTTGATGTCCTTGATCAGCAGTAGGTGTTTCTCCTGTTTGATGTCCTCGATCAGCAGTAGGTGTTTCTTCTGTTTGTTGTCCTCGATCAACAGTATCTGGTCCTTCTGTTTGTTGTCCTCGATCAGCAGTATCTGGTTCTTCTGGATCTTTTTGCTCTTCCTTTTTAGGAAAGTCTGGATTAGTACCTGGCTGTTTGTATGGATCTTTTTCCTCATCCTTTTTGTCGTCGTTTCTATCTGGGTTGATGGGAGTTTCTTCGTATGGTTTTTCTTCAGGATCTTTTGTCTCATCTGGCTTTTCTGGGCTAGTGGAAGGCTTTTCTTCAGGATCTTTTTGCTCTTCCTTTTTTTCTTCAGGACGTTCTGGATTGGTAGGAGGCTGTTCTTCAGGCTGCTTTTCCTCATCCTTTTTGTCATCTGGCTTTGGTGGCTTGTCATCCCCATCTTTGTCCTCAGGCGAAGATGCAGGCGACTTCTTCTTCTTCTTTGATTTTTTAGCATCTGATGTCTCAGTTTCGCTGCTACTAGCGCCAAGTAAAAAACCAAAGCCTGAATTGCCTTCGCTGCCACGGTTTCTCATAGCTTTTATGATAAAGTACAACACTACAATAAGTATAATCAAAACGAGAAAGAAAATTATCCATTTTCTTTTGCTCCCTCCAGAGGAGCTTGAATTTGAAGAACTACTCATGTTAAAACTCTTTGCATTTCAGTTTTTTGCTCTGCCTTAAATAGCCTTGATTTTCAGCCCATTGGTTCTCTTCTGTTTATGCAAACCAATAGCAATCAATCAGATCTAATCACAGCTCATTTGTCTGTTTTTTTGTGCCATTGGCTGGCTGCTGGCCTTTTTATGCATATTACCTGTAGGATGAAACAACTATTAAGAAAGATCTAACTATAAATGCAAGTTGGCCAATGAAACTTTGTAGCACTGCGAGCATTTTCTATGCATCCTAATGAGAAAGAGACACACAAGAAAATAAAATAGTGAAATGCAACTAAAAACTTTGTACTTTTAAAATGCTGCATTTATTATCTCAGCTCTAGGACAACAGCTTCTAAATGATAAGCCATCCATTATCGATGAGAAATAGCCACTATAGACTAGATGGATTCATACACTAGAGCAATAATAAGTCTTTTTATTTTTCTACTGTTTTCCCTATAGTCAAACATACGATGAGAATAATAAACATAAAATCAGTAAAACTTAGTCTAAGCATGTTCTTGCTAGTACTTCAGTCCAGAGAGTCTATGTGCTTTTGAGTTTCTGTAACCTTCTTTCTTACCTCAGGATTGTCCAGAGACAAACCTAATCCCTCACCAATATTAGTTGTAATATTCATAGGGCGTATTATATCTAAAAGATTGCATATATCATAATAGCACTGTTCTAGCCTAGCTATTTTATCTTCTGGCCATTCCTCTCTTTTTTCTATCTGTACTTTGGACATGTTTTTAATACATGCTTCAAGATGCTCCAAGTTTTTTTCATTCTCACTAGTAACATGTTCTTCTTTCTCACGCTCTGTAATATCTACTACTGGCGCCCTGTCTTGTTCTGCACTTTGTTTCTCCCTTTTCATGCTCTCTACCTTATCGATAGCATTATCCTCTTCTTTTTTCAAGGAAACTGCTTTCTTGCTAAAGCCCTTTTTAACTGGGTTGTAAATGTAAACCAACAGCATCATGACTGCAGAAACAACTAAAACAATGCCTACTATCTTTATATATCTCATGCTCTGTATGCTATTCATTCGATAGCGTCTTGAATTTTTATCAAAGTGCTTATATTTATACTTTTATTACTAAGGGGCTTATATTTGATAGTTCTAGTAAACTTTATCTTGGGCTTTATTTTGATTGGCAGCAATTTCCAATAAAGACAAAGTGCACCAAACTCAAAATAAAAGCTTACACAATCAAAAAGATACACTAAATTCTCACCAAAACAAACAGATTATTTTTCCTTTATTATTCCACTCTACCACTATATTTATATTACTGTTCATTCTGTGAGGGTTTTGAATATGTGTATGAAGTACTTTGCGTCCTGGTACACTGTGCTGCCCTCTGCATTGTACGTCATTGCATTCGAGCACATCCTCATTACGTCGCTTTCAAACTCTTCCATGCTGTCGTATATCTCTATGTTCTCTCTTATCTCTGCAATTGATATCGGGTACTTGATTATCTCGTAGTAGTCTGGATACATTTCCGGATCAGGCAGCTCCATAAACAGCTCGCTTCTTCTTCTCCCGTTGCACGTGCTTCTCACAAGAGAGTCCAATATCTCATCGCACCTCTTCACTAGCCCGCCCTTTTTGCTTTCTTTTGAGGGCCGCATCGAGCTTTTTCTTTTTCCATTTTCGGTTCCTGGGGTGTCCGTCTGCTCGCTGTCTGCAAAAAGAGAGGGAACAGGCCCAGAGTACATCTCAAACGGCCCGAGCACACCGGACTCATCAATGCGCTTAAACTCAACCATTTCTGCTTCTGATCTGGCAAGCATCTTATTCAGCTCATCGTCTGAGCCCACGACGCACGATCCATCATCCCCTGCGCCTGCATCTCCCTCTTCTCCCTCAAAAATATTTCTGAGCAGTGCTTCTCTTTCTTCGTGCGTTGTTCTGTTGTCGAATCTTCCTGCCTGTATAATTTTTTCATCTACGTGCAATTTGCACAGAGCTTTCTGCAGGATGTACTCTTCCACTGTGTCTGCTGTGATGAGTCTGAAGATTCGCACCTCTTTTGTTTGCCCTATTCTGTGCGCTCTGTCCTGTGCCTGCTGGTCTGCGTGCGGGTTCCAATCACTATCAAAAATTATCACAGTATCAGCAATCTGCAAGTTGAGGCCAAGACCCCCTGCTCGCGTGCTCAGAAGGAACACTGGATACTCTGATGTGGGATCGTTGAATGAAGAGATCAGAGCAGCACGCTCTTCGCTTTTCACTGCGCCATCGAGTCTAAGGTATTTAAACCCTTCCATCACCAGCATGTCCTCCATGATAGTCATGATCTGCGTCATCTGGAAGAACATAAGAACTTTGTGTCCTGTTGCCCTGAGCTTGTACAGCATTCTCCGCAGCAGGCCAAACTTGCCGCTGACTTTGTGCAGCAGATCGTTGTTGATTCTCTGCGGGTTTACGAAATCTTCCACCGTATCGAAAACAAAGGGATGGTTGCATATCTTTCTCAGCTGCATAATCGTGTTGTTCAGTCTCTTTGTGCTTTCCTGCTTGCTGACAGCGGCAGAGCGCACCTCGTTGTAGAGTGCTCTCTGCAGAGGAGACATTTTGCATTTTACGATAGTTTCTACCTTATCGGGTAATCCTGCTTCCACATCTTTTTTCAGTCTGCGCAGCAGGAACGGCCTCAAAACTTTGTGCAGCCTCTTTATAATGAGCAGCTCCTCTTCTTCGTTCAGCTCTATCTTTTCTCCCACATGCGCGAGCGGAGCGTTGAACCACTCGTCAAAACTTCCGCCTGCGCAGAATATTTTGGGAAGCACAAAGTTGAGGAGAGACCACAGCTCGGGAAGAGAGTTCTGCAGGGGCGTGCCTGTGAGGAGCAGTCTGTACTTTGACTTATAATATGTGTTCATGACAATGCAGAGCTTAGACCCGCTGTTTTTCATTCGGTGCCCTTCATCCACGATGGTGTACAGCCATTGCGTCTTGGAGAGGAACGATCTGTCTTTTATAACGTATTCAAAGGTAGTCAGAAGGACATCGTACTTTCCCGCCATTGTCTCTTTTTTCAGCTCTTTTCTCTGCGCGGGGTCTCCCTTGTACGAAAGAACTCGAATCGAAGGAGCCCACCGGCTGAACTCAGACTGCCAGTTAGAGAAAGTGGAGAGAGGCACGATCACAAGGAAGGGATCGTTCTCCTGTTTTTTTTCAAGGATGTAGCATATGAATACGATGGCCTGCACTGTTTTTCCAAGACCCATTTCATCTGCTAGTATTCCGTTGAGGTTGTTGTTGTACAGAGAGACCATCCACTCGACTCCTTTCAGCTGGTATTCTCGGAGAAGACCGTACGACACAGATCTTGGCTGCTCTTTGATCAGCTCCTTTGCGGAGTGTGCTGCTTCAAAATAGTCCTGTGTGGTGTTCTCTTGTGCTGATTCATTTGTGCCTTGACTGTCTGTGTTTTGCTGTGTGTGCTTGTGGTCTTCATCCGATCCCTGCTGCAGCCTTATTCTTTTTTTGAGGATGTCGATGTACTCGTCTGTTTTTTTGAGAATATGCGTAAGCCGTGTGTTTTTTTCCTGTTTTATGAGTTTAAGATATTCCTGCTCGTCGTTTGACTTGAGGGCCTGCATTCTTGCTTTTTCTGCTTTTCTTTTCGTTTTTTCCTCTTCTTTTCTGTGCTTGTCGTGTATCGCACTGACGGCAATGAATATTCTCTGCTGGTTTGCGATCTGGTCTTTCTGTGTCTGCACGGACTTCATTGCTGCTTGCTTTATGCTTTTGAGGGTGGAGAGCCACCACGCCACTTTCTTTGCTTCTCCCGCTGCTATGTGCCTGGACTCAAGGTCTGAGAGGACTCTGAGATCGTACAGATTCTCCTGTTTGTGCGCCTGCGATGTTTTTGATATTTTTATTATCTCTGGCGAGACTATTTCTTTGATTCCGCGGAAGACGTTTCTTCTCAGCACGGACTGCTCGTGGTACAGCCCGAGCTTCTTTATCTTTAGCAGAGTGCTGAACGCATCTGCGTCTTCTCTTCGCATCTCCAGATACGCCTTTGGATCTTCTTTTATCTCTTCGTACATAATGTGGTTTCTATCGGCGTATTCTCTTATTATTCTGTTTATGGCCTGTGTTCTCTTTATGTTCTGCAGCCTGTGCCTTTCTGTCTTCAGCGCCTCGACATCAAACCCCAGGGGAAGATGCGTGGGGTGCATTCTGACTGTTGCTTCAAACTCTACTTTCAGGGCCTTGTCTTCTGCGCTTGTTGTAAATATCCCGGACACTCCGGACACAAACAAGCCCTTTCTGGCATTAAGAAATGAAGTCCATTCTCTTTCGTCTCCTTTCATGCAATAAATAATAAAAAGAAAAATCCAACAAGCGCATAAAAAGTAAATAAAAATGGTGCTTATTTGGAAATAATGGTTTATTTGTTCTGTACTGGGTTTTAATATAGATCTGCTCCCTGCTGCACTAGGAGAATACTTTGTAGCTGAGACACTCTTTGGCAGTTGGTCTTTTTTGGTGGTCGAATGTGAGCATCTTTTTGAGCATGCTAATCAGCTCCTCTTTCTCCTCTGAGTCTTGTGGCACTCTCAGATCTGTGGCCTTTAGGCTCTGCCAGGTTCCTTCTGCTGTGCATTTGCTGTTAATGCTCTCCAGCTGCTTTGCTGGGCACGAAAGTGCGTACTTATTTGTGTAGCTCTTCAGCTCTGCGGTTCCGCATATGCTTACTATTTTCTCTAGCTGGTCTTCATTCGATGTTCCGCTGAATAGGGGAGTGCGATTAAACAGCATTTCTCCAAGTATGCAGCCGGCTGACCATATGTCCAGCGAGTAATCATAGTACTTAAAGCCCAGGAGGAGCTCTGGCGCTTTGAAGTGCAGACTGGCCACGCGCGTAGCATACTCCACTGATGGCAGATAGTACTCTGCCAGTCCCCAGTCGATTATTTTTAGTATTTTTGTCTTGTGGTTTATGATGATGTTGTGCGGCTTCAGATCTCTGTGGAAAATCCCCATCGAGTGGATTTGATCTAGGGTTTTGAGCAGCTCTTTTGTGTAGTGGATAACATCTGAAATGGTGAACATCTTGAAGAGAATTCTTGCCTCTGTGTGGTCTTCGTATGGAAAAATGAGCGATCTTGTGTTTGTTTCTGCATCTTTTACCACATCCAGCAGCTGTATCACATTCTCAACTCCTGTGAGCGCTTTCAGTATTTTTATTTCTCTGTTTATTTTCTTCTCTCTTATGGGCCTGAGCACTTTTATCACCACGCTTCTCTTCTCTTCGGGCGGGGCAGTGACTCCTTTGAAGACCTGCGAGTATTTGCCTCTTCCGAGAAACTCTGTTATTTTGTATTTGCTGATCGCGCCGTACTCTATTGCATATTCGTTGTAGTCGTAGTACTCTTTGCCTTTCTTCAGAGCGGCAGTTGTGTACACTCTTGCCGTGGTTTGCAGTGCCATTAAAAAATTAAAATGAGCGGATGTTTATACCCGAGGTGCTTTGAGGATGTTCGGTGATAACGGCGTAAGAGTATGCAAGCATATTTACGCCGTACGGAAATGGGTTTTAATCCACTGAATAGATACTACACTTGATCGAAGCAATTGCCTGGAGAAGTATTTTAAAATTTTCATCTTCCTTTTATAATTATTTTGCTCGACTCTGCCCAGTGTGAAATAAATGTGGGTGCATTATACTCTGCGACAATAAACTATTTGCAGTAGCCAGCTCGTCTTATTGCAGAATCCCTAGCTATACTCTGTACGAATTCTTAAATTGCTCTCAGCTTCCACTAGTAGACTACTATCTACAAATAATGTCTATAGGGGTATGGTAGAATTAGCGATAGTTTATTGCTTGGAGTATTGGCTATATGCAGTCTACTGTATCTACTTTCTGTCTTTAGTGAGAACAGCTGTAGTTAACTGCAAGAGATGGAATTTATATCTATAGTTTTCTAAAAGTCTATCTGTTTATATTTACTGTGCTACTGAAGATAAAAGGTGTCTATATTCTTAAAAAGTACGGGTATATATCTTGTGCTAGACTAGTGTATAAATAACAGTTTTATTTCGTGTTTTTATCCCTGTAGATGATAGGTGATGGTCTAGCAGAACTTCCAGTTGTTCTTACACACAACACAGTGCACATACGTTGTCATGGGCTCATCGGCACTTCTGGTCTGCAGCTGTCTGTACGTGCACTTTCTTTGTTTGCACTTTGTGCAGAAGAATATGTCTGTCTCTGCTTCTTCCTGGGCGACTGTTGTGTCCAGGAGAGCTCTTTGGAATATCTTTGCTTCTAGCTCCTTTAGCTCTTTACTTTTCATCTCCTCCACAGACATTGCTATGAATTTGTGTGTGTCGAGCACTCCGTTGTAGACCGAGGTGCACAGCCACTTATTAGACGGATCTTTCAAGTTCAGATATTTACTTCTGAAGAGTGCTCCGTATTCTATTTTGCTTTTTGCTTTCTTGCATATCTCTTCTTCTAGCAGATCTCCCAGGGCTGAAGACCTTTCTGTGTCGCTTCCCTCCAGCTGCAGGTTGAACACTTTTGCAAACTCTTCTTTGCATCTTTTTCTGGTCGTCTGGCAGTCCATGTGAATTTTTCTGTTTTTTTATTTTTATGTACCAAGTCTCCATTGTAAAATAAATACAGAAGGACAAAAACTAAAATGAAAATGAGATTATTTATTTTATTATACGCTATAGCCATTTAGCTATTTAGTGCAGAGAGGCCTGGAGTTGGGTCAAAAACAGGAAGTGTTATGCTCTGCACGACCTTTTCAATCGCAGAGTATAAAAACTTGTTCAGTTTGGACAGTTTTAAGAAGTTTGTATCGCTCACTTTTATCACTATCGCTGTGTGGTTTATATTGCTCTTTTCCACAAGCTCCTTTATTGGCTTTTTTATGGCATCTATTTCAATGCAGGATTTTATCTGTCTGTAGTTCTCTGAAATGTTGTGTATACTGGGCTCTTTTATCTCTGCGTTGTCTCTGATGTAGTTTTCTAGGGAGAAACTGTCTATGCTTTCTATTTCAAAATCTCTCTTTTTCATTTTCTCATGCAGGGCCATAATGAAGACCTGAATATCTTCAAAGTACTTTTTATGGTTGTTTAGAAGAGAGTCTATGTATACAATCCAGTTCATGTAGGACGTATCTTCATCCTTCGTGCTCTTTGTTTCTCCCATCGCCCACCGGTTGGTCAGTATCTTTCCTACATAGTTGTCTATCTTGTCTTGATCCATGTATATGTTCTCGTTTCCTTGCTTGTGGAATAAGAAGAAGGGAGTCACAGCCGTTATCATTTCACACTTCAGCACTTTTATCTTCTCAAGTAGGTTGTTCTCTGTCGGGAGTTCTGTTTTGTGCGATTTAATGAATTCTATATAGCGGTTGTCTTTTTTACTTTCATCTCTGCCAGCTTCTCTGTTATTCTTAAACAGCTTCTGGATGTAATTTTTGTAGATGCTGACCAGTGTTTTATTTTTCTCGATCAGCACTGAGCTATATCTTCCGGTCTCCTTTCCCTTTATTTTTTCACATATTTCAATGGAGTTTCTATCAAAGTTGAATATCATTGGAAGAAAGAGCAGCAGATCATCCACAAACTCTGCTATTTCTGCGCTGTTTATTTCACTATCTTCTGTTATCACCAGCTCTATCTTGTTGGCATTTAGCTCTACTGTGCTATCGTTCAGTAGATAGTAGACCAGCTTTTCTTGGATTTCCCGAAGCGTTCTGTCTTTTTCTCTGTGTGCAAAATTAAGCACCAGTCTTTTGCAGCTGATGTTTTTGTTTTTGTTTTTGCAAATGTAGTCTCCCATTCTTAGAATAGAGTTGTTGCACAGCACCACATCAAACGAATTACCAGAAATCTGTTCCAGTTTGGAAATAAAGGCAAAAATAAAAGAAAGCATGGGCTCACTGCACAGCAAGGCGTTTTCAACCGAGTATTGCACAGTAAGTGTCTGTTCTTTCCCTGGTATGAACACTTCGATGTTTGAGTTTTCCAGTCTGTTTTGCAGCTCCTGGATACGGCTGGATAGCACACAGTCTACCAGCTCGATGTTCTCTATTTCAATGCCCTTTGTGATGCAGTTGATAAAGTCTTCTGAGATCACAGAGAGATCTTTGATGGAAAACATTTTGATCTTCCGCACGCCGAGACTTTTAATGTAGTCAAACCATTCAGAAATACTCCCAGAATTGAACCCTGTTATTTCGATTCCATCGAAGTCAAAGAAAATATTCTCTGTGCCGTACGCTGACCACATGTCCTTTTTTTTATTGCTGTTTTTTATGGCAGCAGGCGGCTTGGATTCGCTGTCTTTTGGGACTTCTTTTGAGTGGTTTATCGTTATTTTCTTTGGGACTATGGTGGCCAGATAAAATAGAACATCAACGAGAGGGCCTCGGTCCATCGTATCATTTCTTCTGTAGTTGTACTCAGAGAAGGACGAGTAGTTATTGATAACCAGGTGGTCAATGGATATTTCTACGAGCTCGCAGAAACATTTCATCTCTGAAAGATGGTTGATAAACTCCTCCATCTCCCGGCCATTCTCCAGCACCAGTTTGTACGACTTTTCGTAATACATCACATACTCAGAGTAGCAGGCGTTCTTTATCCTAGAGTTTCCCTTGAACTCAATAAAATCTTCAGACTGCTGTAGTTGTTCGATGTCTTTCTTTTCATACGCGTACACTTCTGAGTCTACTACAAAAATATTTTCTAGCTCTTCTTTCTTCTGGCGCTCTGCTGAGTTGAAAAACAAAACACTGAAGTATCTCGAGACTATCTCATTTATCTTACTCAGCTGCTCCTCCGGTCTGTGGTTAAAGCGAGCTATTCTGTTGTCATTGAGGATGATTCTGATGAAGTTGAAATCTTTTTTTTGTACATCATTGCTTTTCAAATCGCTGGATCTAATGAGCGAGCTGTCGCTAAGGAATGCTGCATGGCAAGAGCCGAAGTAGTGGTATCTTTCGCTTCTCCAGAAATAGTTTGCAGGGCTTCTGTAGATCTTTAGAGACCCTTTTTTTGTCATTTGCATTTTTTCTATTGCCGCTCTCTTGTACTCCGTGTATTTACTGCTTTCTATGCTTTTCTGCTGTTCTTCGCTCTCGCTTTCTTCTTCTGTGTTATCTTTTCTGGAAAAAATAAAACTGTCAGAATCGTCTTCGTACTCTTCTTCGTATTCTGAGTCTTCTGTGGAGGCATCTATTTCTTCCTCAGACCCTTGCTTTTTGCTATTGCTGTCTTCCATAACACTCACGTGCTCAGAACACACGTTGTCTAGAAAGTATTTCTCGTAGTCTATACTGCTATTTTTGAAAAAAGGTGTCCGTACCTCAATTGTTTGCACAAGCTCTATGGCAACACACAGTATAAAAACAGCACAGTAGTATTTCATTGGATAAAGCAGCCCAGGGTATATAAATACACCAAGAAATCAGAAACAGATAGGAATAAAGCACAAAAAACAAATAGCCAACAAATAAGAACCTATTTACAGCAGTAGAACAAATAAATAAACACTGTAGTTCAAATAATAAAACAAAAAAATCAAAAAAACAACATACAAACAACAAAAACAGTGCATCCTTCACTCTTATCCACTCTTATGCAGCTTCAGTGGTGCGGTCTTAAGACGGCAAATTGTGTTTGTTATTTGTATGACACAGTATGAAGCGAGAAAAAATAAACATATAGCAGAATCGATAGCATAGAACATTCCATGGCCAGAATAGATGTTAGTGCCAGATGAGTGCAGACTGACAGCTCTGAATAAATTATAGACCGTGGACAATATGTAAATAGAGAGAATAGCAGAGCACAGAAGAACAGCATAAAATATTTTTGCATAAGTAGAGCAAGATGCAAAGATTAATTGCATCATTATCCATTCACTCTTCACCGAATGGTTTAGACCTATCGATGCTTTTAGTGTTTCTTCTAGTAGAACGGCCGAAGCAGTAAGAGAAATGGAAGATGAAATGTGCTGTAGACGGTTAAAATATTTTATTTCTATTTTAGACTATTTGCTTTTTAAATACCCAGTGGTTTGGATTGTTGACGTATGCTGCTTTGAACAGTTTCTCGGCTTCTCTCAGTAGCTCTACCTTCTCTGACATGTCGGTTACATCAGTCAGCTCTATCTTATCAAAAACATTCTCCATTGCGTATTTGGTGGCCATCAAGTGTCTGATGTTCATTCTCTTCACAAAGCACTTGATAGACTCCTTTCTCTTCTTCTGTCTCTCTGTCATGTTCTCTGCCACGGGCATGGGAGCCTTGGCCAGACCAATGATTGTTACATACTCGAAGCACTCGCCTTTTTTCATCTCGTCAACTATGACGGCCTTGCATCCTGCGTACTTTCCCTTGGCTAATAAAACTACTTTTTCTTTTCCTAGCATCATCTTGGGCAATAAAAAATAAAAAATATTTTAGAGAAATATTTTCATGAACTTCTTCACTAACGTAAGAACGCCTCCTGCTCTGGAAATGATACTGGACCCGGAGAACGACAGCGGCGTGTACCTGGACGACTGGGTGGAGGTGGAGATGCTTCTCAGAAATATCTTAATCAATGCGCACATTATTGAGTTTACTTATAAAAATATTAACAACATCCTGCGGGGCATCCTATCTCCAGACCCCCGAGAGAGAGATCTCTGTTTTGAAATATCTTTGTGCATCCTGGAAAGATCGCTCCTGGACAGAAACTGTATCATAAATATTTTGGTAGAGTTTTTGGTTGGCGAAGTGTCGCACTACGGGATTGATCTGGTGCTAAGGCTGCTGAATGCAACCGGGCATATTTCTTCAGAGGACGTTTCAGAGATATACGTGCCTCTGTTGGGCAAGCCGCTCAACAAAAGAATAAGAAAAGAGATAGTATACGGGATCACCACCGTGTACACCTTCAGCAACTTGGACATCATCCTGGGCAGCATTCTCAAGCACTGCAGACAGTTTGACTCTCTGAACAGCTTTATTTCTCTGATAATCATTGAAATATGCTGGGAGGGCGTGGAGAGCGTTTCAAAAGAGTCCTGCACAATGGCTGTCGGGATATTTTCCATCCTTTTGGAGAACGAAGTGCAGCCCACAGTGAAAAAAGTCTCTGAGCTTCTCGTGGACTGCGATTTCATGTACAAAATGTCGAAAAACAGCAGAACAGTGGTCGAGGGCCTTTTTGATGTGGTGTACAAACTGTCAAAGAGCTACTGGAAGAAGTCTGAACAGTTCCTGGCGTGCCAAATGCTAGAAAGTCTGTTCAAGCTGAACAACGAAACATTCGATGAATCGCTTAGAAAGCACAACCACACGAAGTACATTGAATTCACCAACAAAGAGAATAAAAAGATAGAAAGTGATACTAGCTGACAGCAGTCAATAACAATGGGATAATAGTCAACAAGAATTAAGAGTAGCAGGATAGTAGTTGATAGCAGTTGATAGAAATAGTAAGATAAGACAAGACAGAAAAGAGTAAATTACTGTAGTAGCATAGGCATTAGAATAGTGCTGTGCAAGATGGTTAGTTAGTGTAAACAGCAATAAATGTAAAGTGTAACTGTAAGTACAAAAGTGTAGACGTTTATATTCTATTCTATTTTAGCAAGAGAAATAAAAGTGCATTTTTCTTTTTCTTTTCATGCGCGCTGTTCCATTGGGAAGAGAGGAGGAGTCTTCGGCTATTTACAAGCTGCTGAAAGAGTCAATAGAAGAGAGGGACTATGGCGTCCTGTATGTCAGCGGTATGCCAGGGTGCGGCAAAACACTAACGTGCTCGAGCGTGCTGGAGATAGTCAAGGAAAACTACCCGAATATTAACACCATAAGTATCAACTGCGGGTCTCTTATTCTTCCGTCTGATGTGTTTCTTACCATCCACCAGGCACTGGATAGCAAAACAACATACTCATCGGCCAGAGTGCTAGAAGACACTCTGAAGTCAGAAGAGTACACAATTATCCTGGCAGATGAGGTGGACATGCTTATAACAAAAAACCAGCACATACTGTACGGCCTCCTGGAGCTACCGTCACTGTGCAAAAATATTTACATTATTGCGATCTCCAACACTTTTAACCTCCCAGATAAAAGACTCACCAGCAAAGTAAGAAGCAGGCTGGGATGGAACAGACTTAACTTTGCGCTGTACAAGAAGTCCCAGGTCATCGGAATCCTGCGGGAGAGCGTCAACGCAGTGAACAGCGATCTGATGAAAAATGAAAAATCGAAAAAATCAGAAAAAAGAGTGTCTGATACGCAGGATCAAAACGGCGCAGAAAACGACGAAGAGACAGACGGATACGGGAACGAGGAAGGACATGGAGACAGAGTGAGATGCGAGTTTACACAGGAGGCACTGGAGTACTGTGCAAATAAAATATGCACACTGAACGGAGACATAAGAAAAGCTTTGCAGATACAAAAGTATGCGATCTCGCACGCGGTTAGAAACGGGCTCAGCACAGTGGGAATGGCCGAGATGGACAAAGCGGTAAAGTACGTGTACCACTCGATGCAGAGCAGCTTCATCAGGTCGCTGTCAGAGTACCAGAAAATACTGCTCGGAATAGTGTCAAAGAAAGGGCACTCGTTCCCAGATAGCTTGTATGTTGACTTCAGAGCCATTCTGCTGCTGAAACAGTACCCCGTGCCAGGCTTCAAGGAGTTCCAGTTTATGATTGAGAAAATGTCAGAGATAGGCGTGCTGAAAGGAAGAAGCAACAGCCTGGCAGTGGAAACAGACTACATCCCGGATGAGCTTGAGATTATTTTCCAGGAAGAGGAGAACGACGAGCTGGAGATAGTAGAGATATCATGAAATAGTCTTCAGCAGATAAGAATAATGGCAGATATTAATCTATAATTAGCAGAGAGATGTAATGGGTAAAGATGGCACAGATATTGCCAATCAGCTGGACAGAATGATAGGAAAAAGCAGTTAGTAAATAAACATAGAAGAATATATTTTTAATTAAGAGCATATATATTGAATAATTTTTTATTTATTTATGGATAGCAAGACTGACGAGATTCATGTCATAATGGACAGCCTAAAGGACTCCGACCCAGACATCACACACTCCGCCCTAAGCATGCTTGTGCAGAAGTTAAGGTCATCTACCTCAGTGGCATCTACTATTCCCAAAATGCTTATTTACCTAGTCTCGCAAAAGGACATTCTCCACGAGAAACTGCTTACTCTGCAGGGAGAGAACAAGCTGCTGATGGCAGATGTGATGTCTGTGATATCCGCAACACTCCCAAACACAGACAGCCTGAAGTACAGGATACAGGGAGGGTCCACTCCTCTGGACATTTGGGGGCACCAATACATAAAGAAGCTGGCAAGTGATATCATCAAAGTAATAAAGAAGGAGCTCCCACAGAGCACTGAAAATTCGAAGTCAGCAGATGCATCTTCCCAAATAGGAAATAATAACGACATTTCTGCACTGGAGAGCGAGGAGAATGAAGAAATGGTGGCTACCATCCAGGATAGTCTCAGCACAATTGACGGGATCCTAGGCACTGACCCCCATCCATCCTCTGACAGCGATGTCGTGGATAAAGACGACCTTAGCGACAACAGAAAGGAGGACAGCGCAACCACGTCTCGTATCCATGCACAGGGATACAACGTCGTGTACGATGTCATCTCCTGCCTCTTCAAGTTCAACTGCGAGTGCGAGTGCATCGATCTTCTCCTGGAGATAGACAGGCTGCAGTACATCCACCACTTCATAGACAGCGACAACCTCGAGAGAGCAGTGAACTACCTATTGTCTCTCTCGTTCTATGTGAGAAGCAGCAGAATACCAGACGCTCTGCAAGTGATCCTCTTGAAAAGCAGCAAAATCGAAGAGTATGCAATACTTATGATAAAGAACAGAAAAATAAAAGAATTACTGAAAGTATACGCAACAAGAACAGAAATAGAGAAAATAAAAATAGTCCACACTCTGGCAAAACACGAAGCATGGAACTACGTCACAAAAGAAGAGTGGGACTCGTTTATGAGCAGCAACACCGCATACGCCGCAGTGCTTAACAACACGTACACAGCCGTGCTTAATAAGTATGTTAGTGATAAGCTCGAGCTAAGCAAGGACAAGGTGTCAACAGAGGAGTACGGGTCATTCTCTGATGCTCTCTCAAAGGTCTCGTTCTCAAATGAGACCATAGCAGAGCCAGAGAACAAAAAAACGTACAAAATCACGACACAGTGCTCCAAAGGCCTTCTGTTCATGTGGGACCAGAACAAAGCCCTCATTGAGCTAGAAGACAACTTATTCTGCGAAGACGGATATCTACGCGTCTCGAGCATCCTGGCTCTCTCTGCTGCCACGTGCAGAGTGTACGATGACAACGACACAGTGCTGGCCGCAGTGGAGGAAGGGATGAACACAAAGTCAGTCACGCAGAAGATAGTTCTTATGATCTCTCTTGTGCTGAAGTATGCGTCTTCCAACAGACCAGACATATTCGAAATAATCCAGAAAATGCTGTACGATGAGTCAATAGAAGTGTGTCTGTTTGCAGTCTACGCGGCTGGATGCATATTCAGCGGGTCTTGCAACACTGAAGTGTACACAGAGGTGCTTAATGTTCTCGCCAGCAGAATAGGCGATGACTCAGACAATGTGGTTACCAATGGAAGCATAAATGGAAATATATCATCAAATGGAAATAACATCGTGAGGTTTGCGCTGCTTGGTGTTTCTCTTATCTTCCTGCAGGGCACAGACGCAGTGTACTCTGTCATTGAGTCTGCAGAGGTGCTGGGAACATACGCCACAGCCCTATCCATCCTTATGCGCAGTATGGCATACCTTGGAACAGGCGACACTGATGTAATCCACGACATTCTCAAGGATGCCCTGGATATTTCCGAGAATGCCAGCGAAGAAGCAGAAGCTACTGAAAATGGAAATATCTACGACACTTTTGATTATAAAACAGTATTTTCCATTCTTGGTGTAGCTCTGATATCAATGGGCGATGACACATCTGTCCAAATGGCAGCGCACATCCTTGAAGGCTCTTCGCTCCTAGACATCCCAAGGGCACACATGGCCATTCCTCTCGCATACTCTCTTCTGTATATGTCATCCGGCCGCACGGACATCATAGATAAACTGCGCAGATGCATATGCAGCAGCGACTTATCAGTCATTGTCTCCGCTGTTGTGTCCCTTGGTACAATCGCAGCAGGGAGCAACAACTCGCGAGTCATATCGATACTTGACGACATTTCGTCTGTCTGCGGCAAAGGCGCTTCTGGAAGTGTCATCAAAATAGCGTATGGCCTTGTCAGAATGGGGCACGGGCTCTTTGGCCTCTCTGTCATGCGCGATGGCGTCATCAGCAGCAAGTCTGTGGCGTGTTTCATGGGCTTCCTATTCGGTGCAATGGATGGAGGCATCAGTGTCCTGGACAGATACTACTTCATCCTTATGCTCATCAGCGCGAGCATACATCCTAAGTATCTGATTGGTGTAAATGCAGAAGGCGTTCCTGTAGATGTAAACATCAGAGTGGGAGGAAGAGTAGATATAACAGGCGTAGCAGGGAGCCCTAGAAAGCTCTCGGGGGCCCAGGTGCATGCATCGCCCATCATACTGCAGCCGCAGGAAGCAGCTGAGATACTGACAGAGACAGACATGTTCAGAACAGGCGAGGGCGTGGTGGTTGTGCAAGAGAAGGAAAAAGAAAAAGAAAAAGAAGATAGCAAATAAAAATACGCATCATGTCTATTTACATCTCCGTCATTTTACTTTAGATTTTCTGCCATCTGTGCTGCTTTCATGCGATGCAAGCTGTGGATTATTTGCACAATTATCTATTCGAATATCTGCAGGAGAGTTTTTGCATTTATCCAACTTTCTTGCCCATTTGCATTTTATATAATTTTCTCTTTATTTATTTGCATATGGGGAGCATCCCAAGGATTAGATTGAAGAATAGCAAAATGGTTGCTCTGTGGTCTCTGGATATAATTGTAGATAAGTGTGCTATCTGCAGGAACCACATCATAGATACGTGCATAGAGTGCCAGTCAGAAGAGAAGTCGATGGAGTGCAAGCCTGCCTGGGGACAGTGCAACCATGCATTCCACGCACACTGCATATCTCAGTGGCTCAAGTCCAAGAACATCTGTCCACTGGACTCGAAGCCCTGGAAGTTCCACCATTCAGCTGATAAATAAATATGCTCACTCATCTTCCTATCTACAAGTTTTATCTATGCTCTGTGAGCAATAGTTATTTTTCTAGATAAGATCTACAGGAGTAATAGCAGCGATCTAAATGTACACTATGTCATCTTAGTACACTAGCACATACCATGCATTAGAAAGATAAAACAAATTCAATGATTACTATTGAGACACTCAGTAAGAGTTTACATGAGCATCAGGAATAAGCTAGGAATATTTATTGCTCAGTCGGAACATATGAATACTTTCTGTTAAGTCAAAAACTATCTGTGAAAAAGGGGAGTTTGTGCAATAAACATCTGCTGCGAACAAGAAGTAAGTTTATCTAGTACCTGTAACTCTTTGATTAAGTACACATTTAAAAATAAAAATAAGAAATTCTCTTTATTTTTTATCCTATTGCTCTGAGATCACTTTAATCTGCCCTGTGCGTGCACTTTCATTCTATAGTCTTCTGTGCCAGTCTTTCTACTCTCTTATTGTACTGCATTCTGTCGTTTATGAACTCCTGTGCTGCTTCAATGTTCGCTGGGCTCTCGGAGTTTGGCTCCACCAGGAGGAGAATAATCGAGAGAAGGATCGAGTTTATATCCCGCACAGGCATCCATCTCTCCGACACGTCTTCATATCCAAACTCGTCATCCCCTGCCTTGTGAAGTATGGAGATGCACACATTTCCATCTGAATCAATATTCGGGTGCCACACTTCAGACACAAATTTAAAAGAAGGAGGATCATCAGGGTACGTCTCAGGGAAGAGCATAACTCCCTTCAGAAGAGCATTCTCGTATAGTGTGTCTCGCGGCCCTATTATAAGGATTTCCCACTGGTAGATATTGTCGTCTAGCAGGCCTACGCTGTAATTGTCACTTGGGCACTTTGAAATGCGCTGGAGCTCTTTGGTAATAAATATTTTAGAACGACGGCGCGGGTCAGACCTCTCTCCAAGCATCATAAAATAAAAATAAAATAGAAGCAATAAAACAAACACAATAAAACAAAGCAACAGAAGAGAAGTGGCGAAGAAAAGATTCCAGTGCAAATAGAAAGAGCAGCATTCTTAAAAACTTTGCAGTTTATGAGACGGTAGAAGAGACAGAGGTGAAAGAGATGAAAAATATTTACATTAGCAGTTATCAATGGAAGAAAAGTAGAGATACTCAGTGGAATATAAACAGCAGAGAAGTGCAGTAGTGAATGAATTCTAGATAAAGCTTGAAATGGTGATTATAGCATAATAGTAGAACAGATGAAGAGGTAGAACAATTACTTTGTTTATTCTGTTTCAGAACAAAGAATGAGCAGCTTTTTAAAAGTCTGTCTTATTTTCTAATGGAGTAAGTTGGCGATTAAAATAATAGAACTAATATTTATTCTTCTGGAGTGAACTGTTTGTGTCCGCCCTTCTTCTCTGCTTTCTCGTATGAAATAACGGCAAAGTGCTTTGTCTTTGATAGGGGCCTGGTCTCACCGCAAACGACTTTATCTCCTACCTCTACTAATCCGTCCCAGCAGGGAGACAGGTGTACATTGAATCTTGTGTTTCTTCTCTCGTATCTCATGTACTTTGGGTGGTAGTGGAGGTATCTCTTTACTACAACAGCAGTTCTCATCTGTTTCAAACTGACCACCTCTCCTTTGAAGATTATTCCTCTGATTGTTACGTCAGATGTGAATGGACACTTTTTATCTATATAAGTGCCAACCATTGCACTCTTTGGTGTTTCATATCCCAAACCAATTTCTTTGAAATGTCTTCTAGGCTGTTTGTTTCCTCTGGCTATTTCGTATGGGTTGTTGTACACTGTCTCCTGGGATGGGTACTTCTTGAATTTAGAAACATCTTCGATTATGTCTTGCATCTGCGGGGGCTAAAATAAAAATAAAAATATATTGCAGAGGCGAAAGAGAACAGAGCACAGCTGACCCAGAAAGAGGAAAAAGAAAAAAGACACAAAGATTGAAGGAGCGTAGATGATAAAACCAAGTTTACATCGGCTTATGTCTTCTGATAATGCTTAATATTTATTTTCATTGCTTTCATGATATTTTCACTCATTCATTCGCTTGCGAGAATTGGCAAAAATTGAAAAAATAGCAAATGAGCATACTACCACTGCAATTTAGCCGTAATTTAGTGGCGAACTCGGTACACTGGTGTACTTATCTGGCATAAACAGACTTATTGGATGATCAGTGCTGTTTTCTGCTCTTCAATGATCATATTGATGTAGATGAAAAACAGTGATGTTTTGTTCTTTTGTGCGATGGATATAGTAATAAAGGCAATAAAACTGCTCTTAACGTTCTTCTATAGACAATGGTGGCCTATTCCTCTATCTCTTCTAGCAGCGCATCTGTGAACTCCGTGCACTCTGCTGCTATTTCTGACTCTTCTTCGTTGTACTTGCAGCAGTTGCTCAGGATCAGATTTACATCGCTGGCCAGCTCTTCTTTTGTTCTGTAGTACTTATTTTTTATTCTTTTGATTATTTTGTTTCCTGTCATCGGCTTGTCTATCATTTCGTAGTAGTCAGGATACTCGGTCTTTGATACATCTCTGTAGAACACCAGATAGTCTTCTTTATACCCCAGCAGAGCATCTAGGTACTTAGACAAGTCTATCGAGTAATTTACTATTGGCGCGTATATATCATAAATATGTACACTTTTCGTCCTGTTTCTGCCTGTTTTCACTTCCACTGTGTCTTTTGTCTTTTTTACGACCGTTCCCTTGCTTAGCACTCCTTCAGCATAGAAGTATATCTCATCGTTCTTTCTGTATCTCTTTTTTTCTACTTCCGCCTGATGGCTCTTGAGTACGAACGGACTTGTTTTTGCCTGGTCTTCGTTGTAGATCATTTTGTATTTTTGGTCAGTTTTTTCTGTTGTAAATTCAATTCTCACTTCTGTCTTTAAACACTCCACGCTTGCCACTACTATATCTACATACTCTTCTTTCATTTGGCTTTTTAGCTGTCTGCTTCGTATTCTCTCTCTCACGAGAACCAGTTCATCTTGCACCTGTGGCAGTATCGGAAATGCTGGCATGTCGTTCATGTACCAGGCGTAGATTGTGTTGTCATCTGGGCATATTGCCTTTCTAGCTGCCTGTCTGCGCCCTCTCCTCTTGCTAAGGATCTTAACTGAGCTGTCTTCCGAGCTTTCGCTCTCTTCTGTCCCTTCAGACACTTCACTATACTCTGAGTCTGAGTCTGCACTCGTCTCCTCTGGATCGTAGGTGCCGCCATCAGATAAATCTTCTGAAATCGCACTTTCTGCGGACTCTGTGTCTGTGCCCAGCGAGTTGTCTGATAATTCTATCGGCCATTCAGACGAACTGTCTTCATTCTCTTCTGATAGCGTTTCTTCTTCTTCCGACTCTGGCACTATTATGTTCTGGCTTGCCCTTTTAAACTCTTTTTCAAAGACTTTTCTTGTGATCATTTCGGACTGCAGCTGCAGGATACTTGCTATCTCCACGCTGCGTATCCACTTGTCCACTGTCTGTCCATACAATGGCACGGAATCATCCATTACTGCGCCTTCTAATGGCTCGCCCAGTGCTGAGTATTTTTTGTTTTTTGTTTCACTGGCTGCATCATTGCTGCTATTTTTGTCGTTCTTAGTGCAAATTTTTAGTATTTGGTCAATGATGTTGTTTCTTTCTTCGTACGCTCTGTGCATCCCTTCTGTGTCTTCTCCGTCTCCTCTGCTCAGCCCTTGCATCTGCTCTTCGTTGTATGAGTGATAGTGCTTAAAATCTTCCAGAACATACTCTGTCTCTGGAACTGCTACTTCTTCATGGAGCGTGCTGTATTTGTAGATGTATCCATCAAGGTCAGCGATGTAAAAGAATGTTCCTGTAGAGTCCATTACTATTGTTCCAGCTACTGCCACGTCTGTGGATATTCTGTTCAGAATCTTCCCCTCTCCATCGATCACTTTTATGATCCCGTTCACTTCAACTGTCAGGAACATGTTTTTGGCTGGGTGCGCTATTATCCCCGTTATTTTGTACTCTTTTTCTATGAGAATTACCTTTTTTGTTTCGATGTTTATTATTCTTATGTTTGACTCTGTGTCTACAGCTACAACCGTTACATCATCTGTTAGGTATATTATGTCTGTGTTGTAGATGCCTGCCTGCGACATTCCCTCCAGCTCAATTGTGCTTTTGTTCCAGCACCCTTCTAAGTCTCTGCCTTTGAATCTTTTTCTTGTCTGGATATTTGACTTTGTTGGCTTTTTGTCCATGCTGTACTCCCAGACAATCAGAGAGGAAGAGTACGTACTGATGGCAAATTTCAGCGAGTTATGAGAGATGTCAATTGACGATGTAAGGAGATCGTCCGTATCAATCACATAGAATCTGTTGTCCAAGTCATTTACGTCGAGAAGTAGAGAGAACGGCCACATGCCTGTGATAATAACCATCTTTTTCCCTCTTGTTGTAGCTGCGCCTGTGAAAGACCCCTCTTCTATCTCATCCAGCACTGTTTCTACCTCTATTGTGCTTCCCACCGTTATTTTCAGTATTTTTCCTGAGTTTGTTATTATCATCCCCTTCATCAGCTCTGTTTTGCTTTTTTCTTTGGATCCTTTTGTTTTTTTCTGCTCCAGCGGCTCTGCCTCTTTCTCTTCGTATATCACATCGAGGTAGTCTATCTGCTCGCCTATTGAGACTGAGCTCACCTTTCTAAGCCCTTCAATGTCCCAGCACACCACTGTCCCTGACTGATCGCACGACAAAAGATACTTGTTTTTGTAGTCAATCACAAAATCAAAAATAGGAGACAAATGGCCGTTCAGCGAGCTAACCATCCTTCCTGAATATACATCCCATATCTTTATAATCCCGTCCTCGCCTCCTGTGAATATGAAGGACTCACTCCTGTCAAACATCATGCAGAGAACTTTTGTAAAGTGTCCCTTTGTCCTGAATATTCTCCTGTAGTCTGATCTCACCGCGCTTTTGTACTTTGCCATCTTCTGGTCCAGAAGGAGGCAGGAGACGGGGCAGTCTCTTATGATGCTTTCTATCTTTCTATACTTCCTGAAATACTCTCCAACATTGTCGATCTGTCCCTTTTTAAAAAGATCTATTATCCCGTCTTTCACTGTTTCTTCTGTTATGTTCTCTAGAGATACGGCATTCTTATCATTAATGCTCTCTTTTATGTGTACAATGAGCTCTCGAAATATGTCCTCCATAAAAATAAATATTTCTGCTCTTTAAATTCTTCTTCTGTGGGTGCAATTTGGGCACAAAAAGCAGAGAAAAAACTGAGAAGAATATGTAAGCTGTTATTGAATGATCTAGAGGCATTCTAAAGTCTCTATTGCTGCATAACTGCTAATTTATAATTAGATTGTTGGTTGTGCGTCGCTAAACCACAACTTTTTTGGGATATATTA